ATAATTTTTAGCCTAGGAAAAAAATCATTCCGGACCCGATTAATTCGCGTCCAACTCGCGTTTGAACGGGAGTTTAACGGGAATTCAACGCGCGTTGAATTTTGCAACGTGGAACCCGCGTTAAATTCAAAATCGGACACACAGTGTGCTGGAGTTTCAAAAAAGGGGTCTACCACATGCACATATATTGGTTATCCTGCATCCGAATGATAAAATTCGGGATGCGGATGCTATTGACAATGTGGTGTGTGTCGAGATTCCTCGGGAAGGGGAATTGAGAGAAAGGGTAGCCAAGTTCATGTTGCACGGGATTTGCGGTGCGGAGAAACACGATGCTTCGTGTACGGAGGACGGAGAATGCACAAAAGGTTTTCCGAAAGACTTCATTTCAACAAAAACATTCAAAGACGAACAAACGTACCCTTTGTATAGGAGAAGGAAACCAAGTGACGGTGGTTTTACGATTGTTCAAAATGGAGTCGTTTACGACAATCGGCGTGTAGTCTCGTATACCCCGTACTTGCTAATGAGGTTTAATTGTCACTTAAATGTTGAATATTGTGCTAACATCAAGGCGTGCAAGTACGTGTATAAGTACGTGTACAAAGAGTGTGATCGTACTATGGTTTGCGAGCAAGATAGTAATGCGTCCATCGACGAGGTCAAATTGTATCAAGATATGTGTGTTGTAGGTGTTGGCATCTATTTGAGTTCGACGTTGCGGAACAATGGCCCGCGGTCGAAAGATTGCCCAGGCATCTTGAAAACATGCAAAAAGTGTAATTCGAACCAGGCACTGAGCATGACGTTGTTTCGCAAGGGTCCCCGAAAACGAAATTGACGACATGGATGAAACACAACTCTTTGAATGAGCATGTTCGTAAAAAGGAGCTTCCTCTATACGCAGAGATCGTTAATACCATGGCTACGATCCGTACGTCCAGACCGTCGTCCGGACGGTCTGGATTCAGTCCGGAATCCAGACGTCCGGTCTGGAAGGTCCGAATCTGGCAAATTTCGAGAAAAAAAAATAAAAATAAAAAAACGGTCCAGGACCCTTCCCCATTGAAGAGCCAAGCCCCCAAAATTGTTTTGGGGGTTTTTAAGGCCCGTTTATGGGGGGTCCGGATATGCTTTCTCTCTATAGTAATTTATTAGACAACCCCAATTTTTTATTATTCATAATTCATTAGAATCATTACCTTTTATTAGTTTTTAAAGTCTTTTTTTAAGCTTTTTATAGTTTTTAACTTTTAACTGGATTTTGGTTAGGAATCCTGACTCTGTGGCAAAAGTGGTTTGCATTGTTATTCTGCATAACATATTTTTATTTTTATTTTTTTTTAATGGTCTAGACATTTCCGGACCTGTCCAGACATCCGGACCGTCCGGATCCCTCCATGTCCAGAGGTCTGGAAATGTCCAGAATTTCGGACGTCCGGCAACTACCGGACACGGGTCCGGATCCATATTCGGAAATGTCCGAGTCCGGGTCCGGCGTAGTCATGGTTAATTTTCATGTGTGGGATAACAAAAATAAGAAGTGGAAGGCGAACAATTCTATCTGTGCGTGTTGCTAAACCATGAACATTTTCGTGGGGTGCACTCTTTTGCCGAAATTCGTACTGTGGACGGAGTCGAATACAATTTTTTCCGATCCGTGTGTCTTCGATTAGGTCTTTTGCAAACAGACGATGCATACGATCAATGCATCGACACAGCCGCGACGCATTACATGCTTGAAGAAGTTCATAAAATATTCGTTATGCTTCTCGCGTTTGGTCTAGTGATCGATCCGGTCCGTTTCTTTAAACGACATTGGGATAAGATGTCTGACAATTTTCAGTATCGCCACGACTGTGAAATTGTTCCCCCGAACATTTTGCAATCGTTAGTGTTATTCCATCTTGATCGTATTCTGCAAGAGTCTAGAAAAAACATCCGTCAGTTCGGCCTTCATTTTCGACACCCGACAGGGAAACAATTGTTGAGAACATAACCAGACATTACGAGAACAGAACGGTATCCTCGATTCTAAATGACGAGTTGTCGTATGATCCGATTGAAATGCAACGTAGATATGACTCTAATTTTCGACGCCTTCGTCCACGTCAAGGAGTGTTGGTGGAAAGAGTCGTTCGGGCTGTGCAAGAAAAAAAATTGTTGCGTGCTTTTGTCGATGCACCTGCTGGACCAGAAAATACTTTTTGCATTGAAACTATTTTGGCGGGCATAAGGTCCCGTTCTGCCATTGCACTGACCATCGCGTCCAATGGGATAGCGACGACTCTTTTGACGGCGGGTCGAACGTTTCACTCACGATTTCGCGCACCTTTGAAACTTGATAACACGCGTCTCTTCTTGATTCTAAAACAAAGTGATATTGCGGAGCTTATCCGCCGTGCCGACTTGATTGTTTGGGACGAGGCTCCAATGAGTAACAAGTTTCATTTGGAAGCTCTTGACATTACGCTTCGGGACCTCTGTGACAACGACGAGCCGTTTGATGGGAAAGTTCTACTTCTTGCTGGGGATTTTAGACAGGTTTTGCGAGTTGTAAAACACGGATCGCGAGCGCAACAAATTGATGCGTCCATGAAAATGTCTCCTTTGTGGAAAATTTTTGAGGTTCATCAACTGACCGAAAATATGCGAATCTTAAGCTTGGGGAATGATGAAATGACACGAATGTATGACCACTTTTTGATGCAAATTGGGAATGGTGACCATCCTTGTGTTCTTCCTAATGAACCTGCTGCGGTCAGATTGCCACGTGAGATTTGTACGGATAAACCGATTGATGAGTTGATTTCATGGACGTTTGATGATGTGTCAAACCATGTCGGGGATGCCGATTATTTCTTGCCTCGATTAATTTTATGCTCGACTAATGACGATGCCGGTTCTGTTAACAACCGTGTTCTTGACGACTTTCCTGAGGAGGTGCGTGACCTTTTTAGTATTGATTATCTTGATTCGGATAATATCGGACTCAGTAATGAGCGGAAGTTCTTAAAAAAACTCTCTCGACGGATCTGGCCTTTCACCTCACAAGTTGCGCTTAAAAATTGGTGCACCTGTGATGCTTTTGCGAAATTTGTCACTGAAGCAAGGACTTTGCGACAGTACGAGACTGATTCTGAAGAAGATCGTTGATGATGATTTGTTGGAAGTGACAATTTGCACACGCGTAAGACAACACTGATCCCCAAGATTAATTTGACAAGTGATGGTGAGACCACCGGGTTCAAATGGTTTAGGAGGCAATTTCCAGTTCGTCTTGCTTTTGCTGTAACGATTAACAATTCGCAAGGACAAACTGTATCGCGTGCAGGGGTTTACCTATGCAAACCGGTTTTTGCGCATGGCCAACTGTACGTTGCGTTGTCGTGTGTTGGTCATCCCAACAACATCCGTGTTGCGTTGCCTGATAAGAAAATTTTCACGAAGAATATTGTATATCATGAACTTTTTTGAGTCCTTCTTTTTTTTCTCATCGAGTCTTCGCATCCCAAATAATTATGTCATATTCTTTTTTTTCAGACGACTCCCGAATACCGCATAAGTATGACGCTCGTGCTAAGAGGAAAGCAATGAAAACCACCAATACCACTCAATACGATACGAATGTTACATCAAAAACCGGAGCCGAACATTCGGAGAGGTCCAAGAAAAGTGGAAATGATGAAAGGTCAGTGAATCTTGGAAGTGAACATCCTCGGGACGATCGTCCTGTTGTTGGTGAGGTTGAACGTGAATGTTTGCAAGGGAATACCCTTGATGATGTTGAGAAGATGGTTGTGGAGGGGGATGGTGATGATCGTCGTGCTGATGGGGATAATTCGTGTAGAGGTCAGTCGGGTAGGTCTGTTAACCTTACATTTCCTGATGACGAGGATGATGACATTACTCGTGATTCAAAAGAAGACTGTGTTGATTCTACATTCAAGAGAAGAAAGAGACGTGGTGCGAAAACTAATGTTTTGACTTCGCCCGAAATGCTCGAGCCTACCTTGGCTGATAATCAGGTGGGACGGCAACCTGTTGTTGATGAAACGGGAACTCGGATTGTAAGAGCGCTGAATGCGCTCCCTGATGATGCACTTTCATCTCTTCCGTTTTGTGCACCGCTTGCTGGACGTGCACATGTTCATGATTCGTCTTCGCAATCTCAACGCAGTGGACGCGAAGACATATTTGCGCCACATCGCAACCACAAAATCCTCCGGGGGTTATTGTGGTGCCCGATGATAACGATGCACCCACAATTCGCAGTCCGAATCCGCGCGCTTACCTTGCTAGATGGTTTGACGATGTGAAGAAGGTTGACATCCAAAATGTCTTGACTGAGGTGCTTTTTGAAATGTTTGTCAAAAGTGTCACAGTCGTGAAAGATTGACGAATATGGGAAAACTTTCTGGAGTGGAAAATAAACAAACTCACTAATATGCAGTTGAAACGACGATTCCCTCTTCCTTCAGACCCGTTGAATGTTTCGGATTTGGAGGCTTCTTCCATTTTGCAATCACTTTTGAACGATGAGTTCATCGCTCTGTCTAATGAGGAGATTACTAGGATGGCATTTGATTTGCCGCATTATTCGACATAAGGGACTATTCCCCAAGCCTTTCACAAACATGCACGGATACAGCAGCTTCTCAAAAGGATTCCTCCCGTGGTTGCTTCTTCCACTCCTCATTTCGCGCCGATCCAAATTTTCAACGTCTTGCGGATTATGTTGCACCTTCCAATATGTCAACGACGATTGTCACTACTTCTGTTGTTGTTTCTGCTTTGCCGGTCGCTACGGCTACTCCATCTCCTGTCAGTTATGTTGTGCCCGCTCATACGCCATCAAAAGACCATCTGCATGTCCATACAGGACCATTGAAACAACCAAGTTCTTCTAATTTTAACATTACCATGTACGACTCTGTTGAATCTATTGGTCCGAAAAAGACACTTGCCCACCTTTCCTATCTTGAAAGTTCTCACAGGGTGCAAGATATTGTAGAAGCAGCAACGAAATTGAATACGAGTATGAACACTTGGAGATGTGTGGATGCTGCAATTCATCTCGATTACAATCGGCAAAGATAGACTCGATTCGGAACTTTCGAGGAGTATCGTCGAAAAGTGTTGCAACAAGTTTCTGTTCGTGAGGTGTTGCAAGACTATCGTTCCAGTGAAGGAAGTTGATTGGTCTTATAAGAGAGATAGGAAGACAAAGATGTTGATTGGGCGGTTGTCCAGGCGTTGCCTTAATGACAAATTCCTAGATGGTCGTCTTCGGTTTCAGTTATGTAATTGCCCCTACAAGAGAGATGGGAAAGGAAAGACAAATAAATAAGGAGAGAGAGAGACGAAAAAAATAAAAAAATAAAAAAATAAAAAAATGACGTAATATTATTCCGCTTTTTTAAGTCAATATTGATTTCACTGCGCAATAATTGTGCCTTGATCATACTGCGGCCACTTGATTACTTAAATGAAACGAAAAATCTTCATATCAATTTTTTTTTCTTTTTTTACTCGTGTTCGTTTTTTTTTGTTCTGTGCTCTTTCGTTGCTCCTCTCTCTCTCTCTCTCTTTCTCTCTCTCTCTCTCTCTCTCTCTCTTAATATCTCTCTCTCTCCCTCTCTCTCTTTCTCTCTTTCTCTCTCTCTTTTTCTATTTCTCTCTCTCTCTCTCTTTCTTTCTCTCTCTGTCTATCTATCTATCTATCTCTATCTTTTTTTTTTTTTTCTTTCTTTGTCTATCTCTGTCTCTCCTCGCCCTTTCTCTTACATTTTTTTTTTCTATTTGTTATTTTTTTGATTCGTGAATTAAAATTGGACTTCGTAGCCAGTTACTCTTAATTCTGCGGGCGTGGCCCGCACCGCCCGCACCGCGGGCGCTTAGCTAGTAATAATAATAACAATAATAGTAATACTATTAGTAAGGGAGGGGAACAAGAAACAAATAAACATCAGAAACTAAGACATACACTGCAGAAGGGTCAGTCAAACCGCACGACTCCACCTAAAGGGAACCTGATCATACCAGTCCGGAAAAAGGGAGGGCGGTGGGAAGTTGAGCTCTCTCGTATAGGCAATGACCAATATGGGGGGGTGACACTTTGTGGATGGACCACACACTAGAGCTCACAATCTGATTTGGCCATTCCAGAAACTGTGTTCCCATGCGCAAAGAAGCGGCTCGGGAGGGGTGGCCTTTTGGGTTCCTCCTCAATCTAGGGTTGAAATCGTGTATTGGGACACGGATAAGGAACAAGGGAGATGTATTGTAGCTCTAGTAATGTTGGAAATAAAGATAATCTGTGTAATGAATATTTATGGCCCAAATGATGTATAGGAAAGGGTTACTTTTTTCCACACAATTCATAATCATATACCTGATGGGATACCTCTAATCATGGTCGGGGATTTTAATGCAGCTCCTGATCGGGGACTGGATAGATGGAGGATCCCCGCTCCTTGTCCTGGGTATATTGAGAAAGATGAGAATATAATTAGTAGATTATGTGAATATGAGGGTCTTTTATATTCTTTTAGACGTCTTCATCCTCAGAAACAGATTTTCACATGTATACGTCATGGGGGTTCCGCAATTATTTCTAGGTCACGCATAGACTTGATCTTACTTTCAAAAGACCTAGAAAGGGTTTTTTAGGGATTAAGTATTTTCCCTCAGAGTCCTTGGCCTGGAGCGGATCACAAAATGTGTGCGATACTATTGTCATTTCGTAAAAGGTCGGACCAGGGGAAAGGGTTTTATAAGTTGAATATGTCCTTTCTGCCTATTCCTCGATTTAGACAGTTGGTGCAAGATGTATGAAAATTCTGGCAATCGACTAAGCCTCAGCATGACTCTCCTATTGAATGGTTTAATAGTGGTTTAACCTTTGTGGCTCAAAAATGTAAGGAGTATTCAAAACTATTGGCAAAGAACAAATAACAATAAGAGATACAAATTCAAGAGCTGATTTTGTATTATGAGCTACAGGATTCAGAGTCCAATCAACAACAACGAACTGATATCAGTAGCTTAAGGAATCGACTTCTTTCCTTTGCACAACATCGTTGGCAAGGGTATCTTGTTAGAGGAAAACTAACTAAGCATCAAACTGAAGGATAAATGAATACTACTTTCTTCGCTATGGCCAAATCTCGGGCCAAGAGTGCAGTTATAGAAGGGTTGATAGACCCCACCATTCCTTCCCATATCGATAATCTCATTTTCTCAACGGGTAGTCTTAAAACAACCTATGATTTCTTCAAAGGTCTTTTCACATCAGCCAAAAACTTTCGTGATATAATTGAAAATCGTAAGGAGATAGCTGACTTTCGGATTCCCAGAACGAAAACCCTTTCACAGGAACAAAAGGACTCACTGGAGAAACCAATCTCAAATGAGGAAATCTGGACAACCTTGCTTCCAATGAAAGAGGAGAAAACCTCGGGTATTGATGGGTTTCCTAAAGAACTTTGGGAATCAATGTGGCCGATTTTTTCAGATGATCTAATGAAATTTTACAATACAGTTCAAAACTCAGGATATATGGGAGAATTTGTCGGACAATGAATTTTCACTCTCCTCTATAAAAAAAAGGGATAAGACTAATATTAGAAACTACAGGTTAATCACATTGCTAATTATTGTCTATAAGATGCTAGCTAAGGCTATAGCGAATAGAATGATTCCGATTATGTCAGAAATTATTCATCCCTCTCAAACAGGGTTTATAGAGGGACACCATATACAAAACAATATATTACTGATTAATGAGATTACCAAATTGGCTCGTCAGTCCCGTTAAAATGATGTAGTCATCTTTATAGATTTTGAGAAAGCCTATGACCATGTGGACTGGAGATTCTTGGATGCCTGTTTGTCAAAAATGAACTTTGGTCCTGTTTTGCGTCAATGGATTAGTATACTGC